TGTACGAGTCATGAGCGATATTAGTATTGTGCCAGTAGTATCATAGATGTAAATACTGTTAAAGTGTTGTAGTAGCTCATGATATTAATTCTATGGCTGAGTTGATGCTGCTTTTATTTGCCTTGCCCGGATCAGTCTTATGCTGTGCTGTCTTCTCAAGGTGTCTTCCTGTTGCTTGACCTCTGTGGGTGTGGTTAATGGGGGAGTCCCAGTTACATGACCTTACTGTAGGGCAGGACTTTTGGCATCAACAAGTATAGTCTGGAGGGCAGGACACTTATTCTTGTGTGTGTTGTTGGTGTGAAAGTGATGAATTGCTGAGCTGTTGCAGTCCATGACGCTGAGTTTCTGTTTGAATGAGTACTCTGCTGTTATATATATGATGTAGCTTAATAGCCTGTTTTGGGTTGGTTCGTTTAATAATTTGCATTCTCTATTGGAAGTAGAAAAAAAGCCAAAAAGATTTGCGTTCTCCAGAAAAATTTCCTCTGTCTGTATTGTGTGTTTTTGTTGTTATTTTTAATCTTTGTAGTAAATTCAGAGTCTTATCTTGACTTTTACATTTGTGTTGTGGTGCCGTGGCAGAGAGCTAGACAGTGAAGCTGAAATTGCTGATCCTGATATTCCCAACCCTGACCCTTACATTTTAGCAGTCTGTAAAGAAATAGAAACAAGCCTTCAACAATTAGAACCTTGTGTAGGGAATGATACTGTTAGCAAGTGAAGTAAGTGGAAAGGTGACTCTGAGTTGTAGCCATCTAAAAAAAAATTTGGAGAAAGCTTATGTTGTTACACTAATAATATTATTGTTGATTTTTTTAAAATGAAAACAGGCAAAATCAGGATATAACGTTGAATATTTTGCATGTGTATCAAGTAATGTATCTTAAGTGGGATTATAAAAAACTAACATATAGTTCTAGATACTCTCCTTAACTGATGGTGAGGGGCATTAAAATTATAAATTCTTTTTTTTTTTCTGTTTTTTGTCCTAAGGTGGCAGTAATTTGCTATGTGTTGGGTAATGGAAGGAGAAAGAGGAAGAGAAGGTTATAATGGTTTGAGGTTTTATTAAACCCAAGCAGATGAAAGTTTACCTGGAGCATATTTAATTTATTCATTGACTTTTTTTTTTTTAAATAGTATCCTTCCTGCAAGAACAAAAAATGAATAGCTTTTGACTTTTTATCATTAGCCTTTACTTCTTCCCTTCTTGCAAATTACAGAAATATATATAAAAGGCCCCCTCAAATTGTTACAGGGAAGGCAATCTCTGAAGACCAAAATAGGCATAAATACTATTGTGTCTGAAATATAAGTTTTCTGTGAATTAATAGAGATGTTTCTGAATTTCTTCTCAACTAATTTTTACAGTCTGCTTCCTGTTGCAAGCCTTTTTCTGCATTTTAGTGTCTGTTCATTGCCTGTAGTCTCTCATAAAGGTTGCCTGAAACATAATCGGGGACTATAATGTTATTCACTCATTATTAAAAAGAAAAAAAAAGGTCACATAGTCCTGAGCGTTAGGATAATGCATGTAAGTGCCTTGACTCTCCATCTCATGTCATTGACATTGCCATGAAGTAAAGACAACCCCTTCTTTTAACTTCATAGTAAAGGCTTCTTTTTACCTGATCTTTCTCTGTGAATCTATTTTAGCATCTTCACATTACTCTCTATAACAGTGGGTGTATATTAGTTGGGTCTTTTCTCCCCCATCAGAGAACCACAATTGAAAATTGACTCCATTTCTGTACCCATAAATCTAGTTGCATATAAAATTTATAACATTCTGAACTTTTTTTTCCCCAACAGAAAGTGAAAGTCCTAGTAATTAAAGGATCACATTTGTAGACAGAGAAGTTGCCACAGTGTTCCATCAAAATGGAGATGGTTTGATGGTTAGTACTTGTTTGGAGGAAAGAAGATTTGCAGGATTTGGCTGAAGACCAGCCTGCTGAAAATTAAAAGTTTCACACCTCAAACAGAAGCCCATTTTTCAGGAATCAAGGAAGTGAGAGAAAATAATTTGATCGGGAAACTGATCTGTCACATCAGTACCTTACAGTAGGCATGTTTTATTTTATTTAAGGAATTTTTTTTTTTAATCTTAACATGATTTCTTACCTGCAATTAAATGTTAGATGATAAGAGAGCTTGGTTTTCAATAGTGAATAAAAACTAAGACTTTTCACAATTTATTAGTTAAGGAATTAATTTATTCTGAAATGATCTGTCCTTGCCACTGAGCTAGGACCTCAAATTCAATGCATATCAAAATAAATAGAAGACAGTGAAAGCTATGAGGTATATGGAGGTATGTTTAATAATGTGGCTAAGGAAAAGTCTGGTGTCTCTTATTCCATATCTGTGTAGATGCCTTTTAGCGAGTTCATTGATTAAGTGGTAAATAGGCATAAAAATCTTCCTGAAAGTCAGATACTAAAGCTGAATTCTTTGCATTAACTTGGTAAAGACTTAGGAGGCAGTGCCATTTATCTGTTTCACACTGTGTTTCCCTTCTGTGCAGGAGAGAGTTGGATTGACCTTTTACATCAGGAATAAGATTAGGAGCTATTAACTGGCAAATAAATAGAAGACACTTAGAAGCTAAAATGAAAGTATGGAGTTTGATTTGGAGAAATTTAAACTATATTTAAGTAGGAAAAATTAACGCAAATTTCTTGGGGAAAGGGAGCATCTTTTATGAATTTTAAAGAATGCAAACTCGCAAGAATGGAGAAGAGACTTATCTGATAATTACTGAAAAAAGGATGAAGCAACATCACTGTCAAATATTTTCAAAAAAAATGCGCTGTGATGCATTTTGTAACTACACTACTGCCAGAGTAACTAAAGGCATCATGCTTAAGCATGTTGAAAAATAGGCAGTGAAAGGAATATCTAACAGCAGTGGCTCTTTGTCCAGGCATAAATTATGACTTTGAATACTTTTCATCTTAACATCAAAGAAGTTCATTTTTTTCTTCTTACAAGACAGAAAGGATGAATTTCATCTTTGGATGGTGCTGTAAAGAAATTTAAGTTTTTCTTTCTTCATTGCCCCAAATATGTTCTTGTGGTTTTTTGTTTTGTTTTGTTTTTTTTTAAATTTAATTTAATTTTTTATTTTTTACCATTTTTGGATTTAATTAAGCATCTCCCTTGCATTGACTTTTTCCTTGTAAAATATTGGTGGCAGCAGAATACAGGTTAGTTGGCTTTTTTTCTTTCTTGTTTGCAAGGGAAGTAGGTGTATATAGTGTTTTACATCTGCTTGTGCTTGACCTATTAGACCAGTAACAATGGAAAAAAAAAATCACAGACCCTGTCTCTACTGGGGTGTAATGAAACACCTAGTATTAGTGTTAGCTAACACTGTCTAACTGCTGCTCTTTACCTTTATGGCAACTGTGGTGTGTCGACCTTGGCCAGATCCCCATCCTGCCTGTTTTGCTCAGTGCCTCAACAGCACAAGGAGGGTAAATGAGGTTGACAAGCTCATGGGTTGAGACAAAGACATGGAGATCACTTCTTTTGTAAATCACCATTTGCTGTCACAGGCAAAACAGACTCATTTTAGGGAAAATTTAGCCAAATTTACACCACGAGGGGATGGGGACTGGGAGCTGCAGTCAGTCCATCACACTTGGTCTCTGCTACTCCTCACCCTATTCCCCTGCTCCAGCCTGAAGCACCACTGTGAATAGTTAGCTGTAAGATTTGCCCAAAACTCCATTGCAAATCTCAGAGTTACTTAATCTTGGGAATTAATGAGATTATGAGCATTTCCCTTGTTTATACTTCATGTTTCTGCCAAGTCCAATAATATCTTAAGATATTATGAAGATTTTACACTAAAATAATTATTAATTAATATTAAGATATTACATTTGTACATAAATAGGAAAAAACCCCTAACTCTTTCAATCTTATAGTACTTCTTTACAAGTAAAGAATGACTTCCTTATAAAAGGTGTAAGAACATATTTTGTATGTTTTTCAAAGGTATGATTTTTCTGTATAGTTTACTTTGGCATAGGCTTCTAATTTTTTTGGAGTAGGTAGATGACTGAGGAGGGAGCAAGGTTGTGTATATACATACTTCCAAGACTTCTGTGAGGCTACTCATTTGGGCAAATGTTCACAAATCTATTAGTTTTTTAAATTTAGGTTAATTTTTGACTGTATTTTTGATTAATCTGAACCTTCTTCAGGAGGAAAGGCTCTTTATTGTGATGCCTTTCAGGACTGAAAGTATAAGGAAAATCTGTCAACATGAAGGTTCTGAAATCATTAAGCAGATGGGTAGGTAAATTTAGGTTAGGAAACTTTCCTGTAGCAATGATTCAGATTGTATGCTGAGTTGGGTTCTCTCACTTGGTTACAAAGGTTTTCCTGGCATGCTCCATCTATCAGCCTTTTTTCTGTGGGATTCATTCACTAAATAGTACCTGATATGGAGTTGTCACTCTTGAAGAAATGAAGCAGCTCTGGACTAGGTTAGATGGGAGCCTGTCTTTATCATCCATTCTGCAGAACAGCAGGACAGACTGTTTCATCAGTATAGGCGCAGCTTGTTTTGTCTTATGTATACTTGTAATACACATTTACAAGATGGACTCTCTTCCAGCTGTAGAAACTTCTGTTATCCCCTCAAATCCCTTGGCAAATGGAGCAGTAAACCAAAGTTTTCAAAACAGATTTGACTTGTCCTAAGTCAGCTATTTCCATTGCTAATGTATTTAAAATTCAAGTCTGCCTTTTTTTTGGGGTAGGTCCTCAGAGATATGTGATGTCTTCTCTAGTTACTGCTTCAATGATGTTTCTAACCATTTTATAGCTTGCTGAATTTCATGCTACTTAAATTTTGAGATTTCTGGGATATGAAAACCTATGCATTTCTTCCTTTTTCACTGTGAATCAGTTTCTTAGCATTTATCTTTACTTTTTTTGTGTTTTGGTTTTTTTTTCCCCTTTCCCACTCCCCCCTTTCCTAGGATCGTATATGATAGTGATTTCCTCAGATCATGACCCTGGAGAAAAGACTAGACTTCAGCTTCCAACAATGAAGGAAAATGATACTCACTGCATCGATTTCAGCTACCTTCTGTACAGCAAGAATGGAGCAAACCCAGGCACTTTGAACATCCTGGTTAGGGTGAACAAAGGGCCACTGGCTAATCCCATCTGGAACGTCACAGGCTCCACTGGCAAAGACTGGCTTCGAGCGGAGTTGGCTGTCAGCACTTTCTGGCCCAACGAGTATCAGGTAAACTTGCAATAAATTCATGCTGCTTCATAATATTTACTGCAAGGTCCTATTCAGTTTATGTTTGCTTTGGTCTGTTCTGATAGAGTATTCTCCCAGTGTCCTTAAGTAAAGTGTTTCATTCAGAATAAATAATTATTTGAGGGTGGATATTTTTATAGCAGGTGACTGTTTAAAGTTATCAGTTATTGTATAATATGAAAAAATAATCTGGAAACAAGCCTTTTTAAAAGAAATGATAAGGTTAAAGTCTAGGAACATCAAAAATTATAAACTCTCAGAAATAAATTGCCTGTGCAAGTGTAATTTGTACTTGTCTTCCCTCCTTTTTTGTGTATGCCTGTGTTACCATGTCTAATTACATGACTGTACACTGGTTTTTTTCCACATGACATTTGCTTCATTTGCAGTGCAGGCAGAATGGCGCTCACCTAATGAGCAGCTGTTCAGGACTCGTTTTTTCTCCTGTTTGCTTGCTATGGGACAAAACCACCTGCAGTGTAGGCCTGTTGTTTGGAGGGAAAAATAGTCTTGTTGTTACTAGATGCTGTTATTTGATTGTTTGATTAACCTGAGAAAGTACCTGCAACTGTTTTGCTTAGTGCGTATTTGACGTGAAGGATGAATCTCATACATGGTCATTTTTGTTCTGGTCTCTAGGAGTGGATTATATGCACTTAGATGAGTTGTTACACCATGAGGTCTTATGTGCTTACAGACCCCTATCTAGAGATGCTTCACATCATTAGCACTCTTGCAAACAGTTTGGATGTCCAGATAGTTATCAAATAAAGGAGAGTGGCTGCTTTATTTATGGTTTTGTTGAATAGTGGTATTGTAGGAGTGTTTCTTAAAAGTGCCTTTTCTAAAGTCTGTTGCAATTGTCCACCACCAAAATGAGGGGAAGTGTGGAGAGAGCAAAACTGAGTGAACGATTTCTCCTGCATTTTGAGGGCCTTGCCTTGGCATAGCTGAGCACAAACAGTAAAAAATGCTGCGCAATTAACATGGCTTCAGGCTCTGAAAGCTAAGACAAAGGAGGATCTGTGCCAAGGTTAAGGTGGAGTCTCAAGTGGTAAACATGTGTCCTCAGCTCATATGGACACCTGTATTAATCCAATTAGAACTGGACAACAGGGTATGTTTCTTTCATGTAGCCAATACTGTAGAAGAAAGATCACGCCTTGCGGTGTAGTAACAGTGTGTAACGGGTATCCTTTTTGTAATAAAAGGACATTTTGCTGATCACATTGGTCAGCACAGTTTGTCTCGAGCCTCTCTGCCGACAGGGAAGCCGTATGAGGAGCAGCTGAGGTCACTTGGTCTGTTCAGCCTGGAGAAGAGGAGACTGAAGGAAGACCTCATTGCAGTCTACAACTTAGTCATGAGGGGAAGAGAAGGGGCAGGCATTGATCTCTTTTCTGTGGTGACCAGAGGGAATGGCCTGAAGTTGTGTCAGGGGAGGTTTAGGTTGTATATTAGAAAAAGGTTCTTCAGTCACTGGGTGGTTGGGTGCTGAAACAGGCTCTCCAGGGGAGTGGTCACAGCACCAAACCTGACAGAGTTCAAGAAGCATTTGGATGATATTCTCAAGTACATGGTGTGCCTCTTGGGGATGGTCCTGTGCAGGGCTAAGGGCTGGACTCAGTGATCCTTGTGGTTCCCTTCCAACTCAGCATATTCTGTGATTTGGTGCAAGCAGCCTTACTTATATGGTGAAAACTAAGTAATTTACTATCATTTTATGTTTTTCTTTGGTTTTTGTTTCCCTGTTTTTAATGTTTTTATTTATAAAGAAATTTAATCTATCAGTGGCATTGAAACTGGGTAAAATGTAACATTCTGAAGCCTGGTTCCTGAAAACGTGGCTTCTGAGGAAGTGTTTTATTAACCCTTTTATGTTGCTGGAAAGTAGCTTTTGATGTGCTTAAAAAAAAAACCAAAACAGAAGCCTTTTATAGCCGTATAGTAGTGATCAACTTTAGCAGCATTATATGCAGTAAATCAGGTTTCTGCTGACAGATGGCCAGGCTTGACAATGAAATTGGTGGCTGGGGCCTTATCTTAGCAACATGGCCATTTTTCACTTATGTTATAGCCTTCACATTATCTCTCTATAGACAGAGCTTAAATTCACTCTCTCTCTTGCTTGGTCATCCAGCAGAATATTGAAATCCTGTGCAACCCAGTTTATTTTTGCTGTTAATGCAACCTGCCATGATTTGTGTCCAACTTGCACAATTGCTTTTATGAAGAGGAGGGGAAATCTGCATGCTGTCCATGCACAACTTCTTGTTTGCACAGAGTTGGTATTTTTGTGGGTTTGGTTTTGGTCCTTTGAGGTCTCAAGGTCAACATTGCTCTTGGTAGATTTTTCCCCCCCCTTAGTTTTGAGTTGTTATTCTTTGGTGTGGAAATATTTTTTCATTTTTCTCATAGGAGTTCTATGCTGTACAGTTCTAGGTCCTAATTTTCGCACTTTGATCTACCGTTGATCAATGAGTTTAGCTAGCAGTGAGGGAAATAAGTGCTGGTTTCTATAACAAGGTGGAAGTGGTTCTTTACTAACCTGGGAATTGGATCCCTGCCTGTACTAGCAAGGTCAGTGCTAAAGATCACTGCTGAGCACAACTGTTTGCATGTACTTTGTTACAATCAGGTCAGCTTCATTGCCATTTCCTTCACTTTTAAGTAGGGAAGAGAGTAGAGATTACCTGGGGGTGAATAGCACGGATTGCACTGTAAGGAAGTCTTGTGTGGTGACTTCAAAGTTAGCATGATGGCTGTGTTAGTTTTAATAACAGAGTGCTGCACCTAGTACTGATTAGCTCCAAAACAGTATTTCTGTGCTCTGCTGTGCTGTGTTGAAGCTTTATTGCTTCCTGTTCGAAACGAGCAGTGTTTTTGCATACCACTCTAGTATACAGTATAAATTCAGCTTGTGCGTTTTTGGATAGATTTAACACTTTCTTTTACTTTGTTGTTGTTTTCTTTTTTTTTAATAATCGATTTACTTAATTTTCTTGAACTGTACTCTGCTGGAAAATTATTTATACATATTTATTTTCTGACAAAACATAGTACAGTTTATTACAATAGTTTTACTGGATCAAACTGAATTTTTATCTAATTTCATACCTCATCTCCTTGTCTCTGATGCAGATAACAGTGGAAGCTTGTAGAGAAGTTCAGGAACAGGACAAACTCATGGTCATACCTCCCCCAGAATAACTTCCAACCTTGAGCCTATTATGTTGTTCAAGAACTTTGAGCTCAAGAGCCTAAGTAGTGCCTTTCTGGGTTTTTTTGCCATGATTTAAGCTTCTAGTGTCTACAGTATATATGATAAGAAATTTTAATGTTAATTCCATGTTAGGACTATTCCTGTGGGTTTCTTAAACATGGGGCCTGTAATTCTTCATTTGTCATATTTTGCACTTGGGGAGTTTCAGCAGTCGTGTAATGATACCATCTGTCTTCTCTCTTCTGTTAGCAAGGCATCTGCATTTTTTCTATTCTGCTTGTTTAACATGTGGATGAACTCTCGAAGAAAAGGGTTTGATTAGAGAATCCCTTAGGATCGAGGTTATGATTTGATTTTGATCCTTGTTAGTTCTAGAATCTTTTTTTATCACTCTGTTGGAAATACGCTACATTTGACCTGTCTCAAGTTTGCTTCAAAGGAAAAATATTTTGGGATTTTTGTTGTTTAAACTTTGTGACTGACTAGGAATTTTGTCTCTCTGTTTTCTTTGTTGGTTATTATTGTAATTAATTTATTTTAGTTGAGAGATTTGTTCCTGTCTGGATGAGTTGTTTTGTCTAATGCTTCTGTTCATTTCCTCAAGTTCTCTCCTGCTTTTCACAGTAGGTGTTATTCAGCTGCTGGGGGTTGTCTCTTCCTCTCTGTTTCTGTCACAGTCATTTTCCACTTTCCTTGTCATCGTCATCCTTTTTAAGTTTGATTTTGTTTGTTTGGGGTTTGTTATTTGGTTGATTTCTGAACACTGTCTCCCTAAGGTCCCTTTTTCCTATTTTTTGTGTGTCCTCCCCCAGCAAATTTGTTTTGCTTCCACAGGATCATGTCTGTTTTTGCTCACCTGTGAGATCCACTTTGTGATGTGAACCATGGGATTTCCAGTTTTGGTTTTATATAATATATATCTGGTATTTATATCAGAAAAAGTTAAATAAACTCTTGATTTGGAACCATCAATTTCAAACTTGTAAAAAATGAATTATTTGGTTTCTTTTGGTTCTTTAAAAATTCGCTATACAGTAATGTTGCTCTGTAGTTTAACAAATGGGCTGGCTAGGATACTGGCTTCATAGGAATGATCTTGCACCTAGAAGTATAGCTAGCAAAGTGAAAATACTGAACTACACCAAGCAGAAGATCTTTTATCCATTCAGAAAGACTAATGATGTGCAGGAAAACTCTAGAAAGCCAAATTATTTTCTTGCCTAATTGTGAATCCTGATTTGGATAATGTTCTTTAATACTGATTTGTTCTTTAATACTGATGATTTATAGCATTTGTGAAAGTTTAAATTGCTCCAAGATCTTGGAAAGTTATTTTCCTTTATCATCTTGAAAGGTCTCAAAACTGTAATAGAAGTATAACAGGAGGATGGTAGACTGAAGATTCACTAATGGTGTGTACAATTGGGCCATATGCCACATAAGGTACGAGACAGATTTCTTGTGAAATATGAAAATTTGTTGGCTTTTTGGATGTCAGATCACTATTCTGAACTTCCAGAGGTGATACTAAAAACAAACTGCATGGAGAAAAGTTTTGGAAAACGGGGAATTAGATCTGATTTAGTCATTTGATATAGCTAAGAAAGGAAAGCAACAAGTGAAATGGAAAGTACATATAGCCTGTGTGAACTATGTGGAACTGAGTTATAAGCCAACTTAAGAAAAAACTCACCCTACCAAACTCCGACTTCCTATTTATATGACAAATGGCCTTTAACCTTTAAATACTATGTAA